ATCCAACCTCACTGTTGTACCTCATTTACATTATTTCACTGGAGGAGAAATATTTAGAAGAATAAAGAAAGGATTGAGAAGACTTGTCCCTTCATTCAGATTTTCATCAATTTTCTTTTAATTTTCTAGTAGAAGATATAACTAAATTAGCCAACTTTTGTGCTAATTTTTGCTTTGTTTAAAAGTTTTTTATTTTGATGGAAAGGAGGGTTCCCTTCCATATGATCCCATGTATTGATTTTCGTGGTAGGGGACTCTTGAGTTTTCGGGTTCCTTGCGATATTTCTTTCTTGTTGATGTATTTGCGACTAGGAAGCATGGCATTGAAGATGTGTCTTAGTTCTACTCGTCCATATATGATATACTGAACTATGTTGAGTTTGCTATCACAGATATTTTTCTCACCACTTAATTTTTCTATTTCATAGATAAAAAACATATTTGTAGGGGAAATAAGGAGTTTCGCTATGATAATTAGATTAGCACTTATATGTACTATTTTTACTCATATTACTCCCATTCATCTCTCACCTACTGTATGGAGTGAGACAGCGTATTCAAAATCTTACTGAGCTGCACTCTTCCTGCGCAGATAGCAAGTGTGACGGCGCTCAAGCGATTATTGGACGAAAGGTATAATGCTTGGGGGAGAAATGGGTTCACCGAGGCATACACCAAAGACATTCTTAAGGGGAAGGCAGCAATTTAACATGCACACTGTATGCCAGACTACCCGGACCAAGCAAGATCAATATCACTTGGGACAAGCAGTACGTGCTCGGGGCCTTCATGTTCTACCCTGGGGCCTGGTACTGAGATCTCGGCAAAAGGATATCACATTCCGGAAAGGACAAAGTTTTAGGTAATAGCCACCTCATGAAATCTCTCTCTTGTCACCGCGTTAATCCATTATGCAAATTATATGCTCCAGCATAATTTCAGGCTACCGTGTATGGTTCAGGCTTCTGACTCGAAGGACAATGAATATAGATATCTAAATAAATCTTCATCAATTGATTAAAGGTAGGGAACGCCACTCTGGTGGCTTCGGGGGACTTTGGCGGCAAATAGAGACAGACTTAGAGTGGCCGTAGCATAACAGAGAGTCGCACCTTCGCATATAAGGGGCAGAATTGGATCTCAGGAGGGGCGACTCGTAGGCAGAGTATGTCCATGCTCACCGCGGACTTTATTTTGCAAGATTGGGCTTGCTAGACTACACCTGCAATAGAACTTACTGTAAAGAGATACTCCCAGTTCCCGTGGCACTGTGCTCGGCATTTGCTATGTCTGGTCCTATGGTTGCTAAACGGACCTTACCGAGTAAAATCCGGTAAAAGCTTAAGACCAAGGGAACTCGGGGTGGGTTATAAAAGCTTGTCTTTCAACTGCTCAAACCATATTAAAATGCTTTCGTTATGCTATTGCCTTTTTATTTATACACCACCCTCATTAAGAATGATGCCAATCTTTCTTCAAACTGGCTCAAGTGAGTGGCCAAAGCCATAGGTGAGTTGTATTGATATCCCTTCTCACAAATTTATCTAATCGTACCCTGATAAGCCCATACGAATTCCTCTCAGACTCTCTTTTAATGAATTTTATTAGGCAGTGGCCACTTAAAGCATATGGCCTCAAATCTTGGACTGGATATGCTGCTTACGCCCTTTTTAGATAACCACCAATGATCCAAGTACTACCAACTGGCGTTGTGCGAAGCAGCACTTCTTCAAGTTAGCCCTAAGCTGGTGCTCCTCGGAGAACCTCTAACAACCTTCTTTCAAGTGCCCCCAGTGCTCTTTCTCTGTTCTAACTATACACTAAGATGTATCAGAGAATGACCAAAACAAAATCGTCTCAGATACTGTTTGAAAATCATATTCAATTAAGAGTGCCGTGAAAAAGTGCTAGAAGCATTG